CAATTAAATCCAGCTGACGAATCTCACGTGGTGAGTGTTGAGCTGATTGATTTCGGAATGCGTAGATAAGCGGCTTGTGATCGGCGAAGATAATGAAGGTGTTACCTTCGAGGCGTGTCGGAAATGTCGAACTGTAGAGTAAACTGCCAGCGGTTCGCGACTGAACGTGCTGTATTTGACTTCGGCGGGTTGTAGGCTTCTAGAGTAGAATGCAAGAGGTTTCCAGCCTCCAGCTGTATGTTGCTGTAGGACGGCGCCAATGGCGGTGTCCGATGCGTAGACAGCAACACTAAGCGGAGCGTTCGGATCGAAGTAATGAAGCAAAACGGCTTTAGCTAAGGCTTCTTTGCTGGCCTTGAACGCTTCGGCAGCAGCAGCAGTCACTTCCACCTGGCCTTTTTACGTCCACAAAGTAGGTTGGTTAGCTGACTTATCAAATTGGCACAGTGTGGAAGAAAATGTCGATAATAGTTGAGCATGCCGTTAAAACGGCGAATAGCGGCTAACCTAGTCGGAGCCGGTAAGTCTCTGATGGTGCGGAATCTATCGCCTAGAGGCCGTATACCATACTGATCAATATGGTGGCCAAGGAATTCGACAGAAGGCTGCTGAACTATGCATTTGTCAGGGTTGACAGTGATGCTATTAGCGGCCAGCCTATCGAAAAGTATTTTGAGATGATCTGCGTGCTGTTCTTTAGAAGCGTTGGCAACTAGGATATCGTCGATGTATGCATAAAAGAAATTTAGACCTCTAGTGACTGAATCGATGAGTCGTTGAAAAGTCTGGGATGCGTTGCAGAGACCAAACGGCATACGCAAAATTCGAACAGCCCGAACGGCGTGATTACAGCAGTCTTCAGTATGTCTTCCTCAGCGACTGGAATCTGGTGATCCGCGCGAACCAGATCGATTTTCGAGAACACACGGGTGCCGCGCAGGCTTGCCGTGATGTCCTGAATGTGAGGAATCGAATATCGGTCGGGAACAGTAACGTTATTGAGCGCGCGGTAATCACTACATGGACGCCAGTCTCCTGACTTTTTGGGCACCATGTGGAGCAGCGACGCCCAGGGACTTTTAGACGGACGAGCGATGCCTAGTTCAAGCATGTGCTCGAATTCCGCGCGAGCAATTTTCAACTTGTCAGGGGTCATTCGCCTGGCTTTGGCAAAAACAGGCGGACCTTTCTTAACGATGTGGTGTTTCGCAGCATCAGTGGCGGATGAAAACGGTGCCGTTGCCCGAAACACTTGGTGGAACTTGGTGTTAAGCATCTGACCAATAGGCGAGCTTGACAGGTTGGCGTATACAGGACTGATTGACTCTATGTCGGTCAAAGTACCTATAACTGCCAGATTTGTTTGACGATCAATAAGACGGCGTTGCTTCGCGTCAACAAGTAAATCGAAGTGCTGCAGAAAGTCAAGACCAAGAATTAGCGTCTGGACATCTGCGACGAGGAAGATCCATTTAAATAACGTCTTAGGTACAAAATTTAGCGTGCGCGAGTGTTGACCATATACGCGAATGGTGGTGCCGTTTGCTGCCGCAATGAACCGGTCGCCTCTGTGATATCATTAGAATCACGTGGGATAACGCTGACTTCTGCGCCGGTGTCAAAGAGATAGCGCACTTCCGTACTGCGATCGGTGACAAAGAAAAGGCGACTGGGGCAGCCAGCAACGTCCGTCGCCCCTACGTGCTGGCCTACCCGTTTCCCTGCATGTTGCGCTTGAAGGAACAAGGCGGGCGACACGATCTGACCTGATGACCAAATCGCTCGTGATACCAGCAATAGCTTGACCTAGGGGAGACTTCGGATGTGATCTAGGAGGACTGCGACTACTGGAACGATTTCGGCGGTTGGATCCGGATTGTGTTAGCTTCTCTAGTCGGTTGGTCAATGCGGCTACTTGCGCTCTTAGTTCTGCTACCTCTGTACTGGAGGTAGACTGAACCTGAGATATTTGGGCGTTGAATTCCCAAATACGGTCGGCAATATCTGCGAGCTGAGGAAGAGGCGCATCGTTTGCATACAAGGGATTGCGCATGTCACGTGGCAGGCAACGAAGCCACATTTCTTTAAGGAGCGAGACGCCAACAGCGAGAGGCTTAGCTAGAGCTTGCATCTTGTGCAGCAACTGCGAAGGCTTTCGATCCCCTAGCTCGGCGTCGTTAAGAAGCTGCGTGACGCGAGCATGGTCTGATATGCCAAATCGCTTTAAGACGACGGCCTTAAGCTCATCGTAACTTTTCTGATGTTCCGGAAGTTCCAAGATGTCGTCGAGGTCATCGACGACTTGCGGGGGAAGCGCGGCGACAACGCAGTGAAATTTGATGCTGTCAGAGTTAACGCCATGTAACGAAAAAATGGACTCTAGCTGGCTAAACCAGGCCTTAGGGTTAGTATCACGGAAAGACGGGATAGGAAAACGGAACGCACTAACCTGATCGTCAGGTGAGTGAATAACCTTCATAGTGAAAAATTACGGAGCGTGTGAAAGTGCCCTGTCAACGCCATCGGTCACTCGGGCGCCCGATATAGGACACTCATCGGGCGTTCGTAAATTATGGCATATGAAATCCGCTTATAGCCTTATCAACTGTCCAACGGCGACTGAAAACATCGATGGTCCTTCGATTACCTTCTTATCATTAACAAACTACTCATTAAAAGATAGTAGCATGTTCACTTCTTGAATGCAGTATTCACACCCACATTACGCGTTACTGGTGCTTGTGCGCTGCACATTTCGGTTATGCGACACCTATAGGTATCGCCCATAAAAGTGCGATAAGCGTACAGGATTGCACTCCCAGTAGCTGAAACGTCTCACCACCAGCAGACTCTTCCCACGCAATGTTATCGTTGAGCACGTAATGCCCCCTTCATGAAAGGCAGAGCTGCTATACAGCGAAAAACAGCCATTGATTCAACGGAGGCCCTGCCAAGTCAAAGGTGATCGTAGATTCCGACGTTAGTTTCTACATGTAACAGAAGTTCTGCGTGAATATGTGACAAAGGCGGACTGTCCTGCTGGTAGGAATATGAGCAGTGAGGACCCACCAACGTAGTTCCGTAGTGTAGTCGTATAGGGCGCTCGTCTCGTTGCGTAGGTGTCCGGAGTTCGAGTCTTGGCAGGGTCGCGTAAGGATTAAGCGGTATCACTGGTTGCATCTCGTGGTTGTGCATTACGTCGTGGTCGTTTCTCCATTTTCTTCTTTTCGTTACGTTCCAGTGCGCATTATTAAGATTGTACGCACTTTTAAAAACTCTTCATGACGACGTTGACTGAATCGCGTGTACCAGTTGTGCTACTGGCTATGTTGATGCCAATATCATAGGTAATCTAATGCCATGCGTTGAGGAATACACTAAGGAGTGTAAAGGGGGAGTGCTGCTAAAGATTTCTCCGCCAGTCCGAAACCTCCCGTTCGCACATATTTTGGAAACTGAGCGGCCTTCCGGCGGATTTTCGTGCTGGTAGGGTCTCCAGATGTGTGGAAATGTAATAACGTGCCATCAAAGGTGTTGGCAGAGAACGTAAGGTGGCTAGATTATTCCTACAGAGCAAAATCTGGGAAAAACAGGGCATTTGAAGGAGGAACCGCAACATTTTTCTCGGCGAGCGCCCGATGAGTGACACAATTTTGTGCCACTCGGGCGCCCATCGGGCGCTCGATTGTTCACCCATCGGGCGCCCATCGGACTTCCAACGGGCGCCCATCGGGCACTGGTGCTGAGTGGGTGAATGCAAGTATTAAAAAGTAAAAGGGTAGACAGAATAAGTTACCGGATCTGAAGAGTAATATTAGTACCGAACTCACCAAAATAGTTTTTTGTTCGGGGTCACCAATTATAGCGCGTAGATCGTGCACTATATATCCGGTACGCGACTAGACGACCAACCAAAAGTAGTGGGTAGAAGACACAGAGTAAACTAGGGAAGAAGTTTATTGGACGGGAGGAGCGTTAGCTAATGCTAAAAATAGGGCACCCGTAGAGAGCTAGCTAGGGAGCATATCGTGGGCTTCGAGAGCGTAGACAGAGCGTCGTTCGCAGTCGAGCCGCGCGCCAAAGGCGGAGATCGTTTTCGTGTTTCCAACAAACGGGAACAACGTTTTAACAGGCAAACCGAATGGTTCCCTAATACATAAGAAAGCTATAATTTGAATATTTTAGAATAGTTTACACAGTCATATGGGGGAATCTCCAGGTCGCTACAGAACGCTTCTGGAGCAGGTGCTTGCCAGTGGTATCTATCCACGGCGGCCGCGCCCGTGCCCCCTTTCTCCTCGCAAGCGGGATGTAGGGAGTAGACACTTCCGTGAGATAAGATTTAAATTTATCCCAGGCCGCCTGAACCGTATCAACCCGGACCGGGACTCTCACATCTGAGATTTGCCTAGCGGCGGGTTTGGTTCGGTAGGTATGCTAGGCCAACTGGAGAGGTTGCCATTAGATTGCGGTTTGTTATATATATATATATATATATATATATATATATATATATAGTATACACACGTTGACCCGGTGTATGTTTTGTATTGAAGGAGGTTAATGTGGTTCTCATAGTTAGTTGTTGTGCTAGACTACAGGAGTATTGGAAATCACTTGGCGCCACATTTGTAACTGTCATCATGGCGGATGAATCTGAGAGATTATGTCTTTTGGTGCGTACTATTATCGGAAACTCGATGAGGTTGAGTCCGATGTAAAGAAATTTGCACCTGCCACAGCTTTTTGCAAGGATACGGCTGTGACTCCACAGCATTATGAACGGCAAAAGTGGAAGAGGTTGCTAGATGAGTATCCGTGCCAGCACGTGCAGTATCCCTGTGTTTATGGCAGGCGTAGCAACGTTCCTGGGAAACTGTAAGTTGCTATTTTTACGGTATAATAAATGCTACACCGTCACATGATGCTGGATTGCTGAGCACATTGCTCGTTCAAGTTAAATTTTACGAACGAGGGGAATTGCACTTGTGTCATTATCATGGTTTCCATTTTGGGAAGCCATGGCTATATGCACTGAACAGGAGGTTGACGGAGACGCGGGAGAAAGAGGGGTTTCCCTGACTTCCGTGTTCAACTTGCCAGAAGACACCGGCAAGTCGTCAGATCCTGCATCTATTTGTTCACTGTCGAATGTCAGTTTACCTGTTAGCAACGACCTTCTTAGTAACGAACCCTCAGACAGCGTCTTTGATTTGGCTATTTGCGAAGGAGAGCAGCGGGTTCCTGCCCTTGTCAAAAGAAGGCGAAAGAGGATTAAAGTAGCGATAAAACCCAAGACGGACATGAGAGATCCGTCTGGCGCCCATTCCTCTCCTCCAATTCTACTACTGCGGAATCGTTGCATCTGGAAACATCTACGACACTAGAGTCTATAAAAACGGACACTAAACTGAATCCCCCGACTTCCATGGAGCGTTCGGTAAATACCCCGCATCGCGGAGACTCGTATACCGACTGCAGTGTTATTTTCAGAAACGCCACTGAGTCTTCTGATATTCTCGCAAGAGATCCTATGCTTGATGATCTTCAGTGGTTTAGAATATGCGTTACAAACCTTCCTGCCTCCCGGCTTCCCCGGCGTGACTGTGCGCAAACTAACTAGACTCGGTAACTTGCCAGCTGAGAGGTCACGCCTCCGCTTGTTGCCAGTTGTTCTGTGCACTCCGGAGAAGCGCCAAGCACTTCTGCGTTTCGCCATTAAGCTCAAGAGGACTGGTATCCTTGTGCACCCAGACCTACCTTTGGCGGATAGGCTGAAATTGCGGGAGGCTGTGAGAGATCTTAAAGCCCGACGTGAAGCAGAACAAAAGGGTCTCCGCTTGGTGTGTTTTCGGGTGGTGAGCCGGAGGTCCACTTCCGCCCTACCAGATCCGGTTCGAGTGGAGCATCATCCCGGACTCACAATGTTAAATCCTTTCAGGTAATCTTACGCAATGTGCGTAGCCTGCGAAACAAGCTGTGCGAAGTCGGCGCTCTTGTCGACGACTGCCGTTTAGACGTTCACGCATTCACTGAAACGTGGTTGTCCACGGACGTCACTGGCAGTGAAGTGTGCTTGCCAGGATACGCACTGCTGTGATGTGACCACACCTCTGATAAGCGCGGAGGTGGTGTTGCTTTGTACGTTAATTCCGCACTTACTGTCTGTAAGACGTATAGTTTCAGATCATCAGAGGGTGATGTTGAGGCACCAGCCGTTAACCTGTGTATTGCCTCCGCGTAACTTAAAGTTGTGCTGGTCTATAGAAGCCCCGACAGCGTTGTTAAGGGGCTTGCTGATTTCATCTGTGAGCAGTCGGCGAATTGGTGTTTAGTGATGGGGTACTTCAGTCTTCCCGACGTTGACTGGCAAAATTTTTCCTGCGACGCGGTCACATGGTGTTTGGCTACCGAGCTTCTTGAGCTGGCCTTGCATGTTTTCCTGCAGCAGTTTGTCGATGGGCCTACTAGATTCATGATGGGTCAAAACCCGTCCCTCTTTGATTTGAGCTTCGCTAAAGGCATTGATTTTGTCACGGATATTGTATACAAACCACCTCTCGGTGCTAGGGACCACGCATGTCTCTCATTTAAGTGCGCCCTTAGCCGTCAGACTAATGATCATCCCGATCGAGTTCCAAATATATGGCGCGGCCTTTCAGACAATGAAAGCCGAAGTCTCCAGGTCGCCTTGTGTCATTATGGAAGGTGACGATATTCAAACGGCCTGGAACAGATTTAAATCATGCCTGAGTGAGATCTCTCTCCCCCATATACCACTATCTGGCAGGAATAAAACTAGGGCAAAGCCACCCTGCTTTGATGCTGCTGTACACAAACAACTTAACAGACGTGCCAGATGTTGGCGTACTTACTTATCTGCTCCTTCATTATATACCTTCAAGCGATATCGTGAGGTTCGACATGCCTGCAGGTAGTATGTACGAGGCGCTCGTCTACAGCACGAAGTAGAGCTTGCTCGTACCTAAACGTTTTCCAGCGTCCACTGATTTAGTCACCATCTCTGTAGCGACCAGCAGGTTAGTGATGGAGGAATGTCCCTTTCGGCAGCCATGCTGGTTGACTGAAGTGAAGTTCAGGTCTTCGCAGTGTCGGTTGATGGCACATTTAATGAGCTTTTCCATTAAATTGCAGGCGACCGACGTCAAGCATTTGGCCGATATTTCACAGGGTCCTGTCGGTTTCCGCCTTTGTATTTCGGCATAACTACACCCGTCTTCCAATCAAGAGGTAGTCGACCAGCTTTAAGTGAGAGCTGAAATATTTGCCGACATGGGACGGAAATGAATTCTGCTATCATCTTGAGTAAATGTGGTTGTAACCCGTCTGCGTCTGGCGAGGAAGATGAGTTCAGTTCCAGTAGTAGCTTCAGTGTAGCACCAGCTTGGTGCGCCTCCCGGTGAGACACTTAGAGAAAAGACGGCGTACGGAAGCGTGAGCCCCGTGTTTTTAGGTATTGATATGTGTATTGCGTTTCCCAAACGCACAAGCACGGCGTCTGCGCTCTTCAGAAGCTCACCCGGATGGTAATTACCGGCTTCACTTCGAAGGGACTAACAATGCCGAGCGTCTTCTACAATTGTGTGCAGACAACGTTGTTTCTTAGTAGCACTGCTGTACAATGCAGTGAGCTGCAAAGTGCCACTTGGTGTCCTCCTGTAGCTGGCTAGCGATGGGCCCAAGTTGATCACATAGCCATAAGTTAAAGGTGGCGTGCTTCCATCCTGCTTTGCCGGTTGTACTGGAGTACCTGTGTCCACTGTCATCATGCCTTGGTACGCTGTCATTTCTCCATTAACTTCACCAGGAGGCACACCAGGCGTCCCCTCCGACTGATAACTAAAAAATTGTCTCCCCTAGGTCAGGCAAACTTATCAAGCCACACTGCATACAGAACTTTTGCGGTCGCGTTTTTATGACACTGACCTACAGCCGCATAGGATTTCGGCCGCCATGCACGACACCGGAGCACCCGCTTGTGGCACTTTTAACCGTCACCTCACCAGTCACTATGTCCGAGAGGTCTGTGGACCAGTTGGAATCTAGAAGAAACTTCCAGACTGGATATGAGCACAAAGTGACCAGTCGGCCTATTAGGCGGGAAGTAAAACAGAGCGTACGTGCTGACAAGGAAGCCTGGTTTACCACGATCTAAGAAAGGTAAGAGGCCGGAGCAGTAGGCAATTACATCAAGCTTTTCCAGCTGATCCGCACCACTGGGCCCATGAAAGCAGACGTCAGTGAGACAATCAGGGCGCACGCGGGTGCACTGATACACAATAACAAGTGCCTTGTGGATCGTTGGGCAGTCGGGAAAGCTTGTTGGGCAGGGCAGCGCTGTAGTAAGGTAATACTGTGGAACACGCTTCAAAAAGTGCATGGATATGATACTGTGCGGTAGAATTAGGTTTCTCTACACTCCTTAAGCATATCACGTAAGTGAACACGTCATCCCTGTTTTACTGATTGCACGACATTTCCTTGTTACCTAATTCTTGTCTTCCTAGGATTCATGATTTCACTTCGGAATAATACGGGCCTCCTTTCACATGGTCGCACATGGAAGCAGACGAACCTTACGGTTTCGCGATCCGATTCTTCCGATTAAAGCCCACGTAGCACACTCGCTACATGCTCCCTCATGCCGCCGTGTCGCCCTGTGCACCCTCTTCTCCTGTTGATGGGTGGCACAGCAATGAAAAATTAGCAAACGTTTATCACCGAACTACGTTATTTTTTATTTCCTGGTAATTTTGTCTAAGACATTAATGACGTGAACCATACACTCCACTATCGGGAGGTGAGCTACATCGCTTCCATGTGATTGAGTAAGTCAACCCCGCTTTACCTCTATGCATATTGCTTTCATGTGTGTCTACGAAATAAATTTTCAGTTACCATTCCTCAGTGTTCGCGCGTTGTGGGTCAAGAGCGCCTCCCGCGCTCCCCATGATGACGTGAATATTCGGAATCGGTACAGACGTCAGCGCTACATTTGTGTCTCTTTTTCGTTATCATTTCCATATCGTCACCATTACTCAGTATAATGCATTCAGCGCAGTTTCGTACAACGAAGGAAACAAATGAACAGCCATGTGACTCCATTCCAGTTCTACCAGTAGCGTTAACAAAGCCCATTACTTATGTTCTTTTTGTCGCAATGCCTACGTTTGCCACTGTGGCTTCCCTCCTAGCAATAATAATGCATTCTATGCGACCCATATGCATTTCATAACCACTGGTTATGGAGGCGCACTCCGCCTATGGCGCAGTCCTCTCCCGAGCCGATTATGCTGCCACCAACGTGAGACCTACGTAAACTTTTGTAATGTCAGTCAATAACGCCTGTGAGACCAGTCATTGCTAATTCCATAGTGACAGAATTGACGCAGCTGCGCTGGGAACAGTTAAAATCATTCCTGTGGGTGTGCAGATGCATTCTCTTGTTATCCGTTACAGTGCTTATTATACCGCCGCTGCTGGGCCATTATGGTATTAGTAACCGACCGTATTTAAGGACTAACGACGGCGATTTTGCTGGGTCAGATAACGACAACAATGCTCTGCGACCAATATAGCACTACTAATAAGAAGCCCTTAAGACATGTGCAGCTAGTATATGAGGCTTCCCTAGAACCCATTTGGATGGAAATATCATGGAACCCAATCAGCATAGGTGAAGGCCGTTCATGTAGGGTCCTGGCACAGATAACCTAACTGTAACTGTAGGCCATAATTAAGCTTCTCTGTGTAACATACAGAGG